AATTCAGTCGCGCCCTGGCCCGACTGCGAGCCATTCCACTCCCGGCCTGACGGCGCCGTCGGCGACCGAGCTACCCACCGCACAACCGAAGATCCCCGCAAACTCGCGCCACCCTGGTCCGCGAGAGTTCCCTGCTGAGCCTGTCTCACAAGTCTGGGTTGGCGTTGAGTATGGGTCAGGTGTACGTTTGAAGCGACATCAAGGTGGGAGATATTGAGATGCCGCTTCGACCGATGGGCCGAGAGCAGATATGGATGTTGCCGCCGACGCTTGACGAACTGTTGCCGTTGGACCATCCGGCGCGATTCGTGGCCGAGTTCGTTGACGCTTTGGACCGGGAGGACTGGGCGGAGCTTGGGGTGAAGATAGACGGGGAGGTGCTGGGAGCGCCAGCCTACCATCCACGTGCGCTGTTGAGCGTGTGGCTGTACGGCTTCATGACCGGGTGTGCGCTCGTGCCGGAAGCTGGAGGCGGCCTGCCGGGACCAGATACCGTACCTGTGGCTGACCGGGTGGCAGCATCCTGACCACAACACCCTGTGGAGGTTCTACAGAGGGCATCGGCAGGCCATGAGGAAGCTGTTCGAGCGGACGGTGCGTACGGCAGTGACGATGAAGTTGGTGGACCTGGCGGTTCAGGCGGTGGATGGTACTAAGGTGGTCGCCAACGCGTCGCTGAACAGGAGCTACGACGCCGAGGGACTGCGAGGGCTATTGGAGCGGCTGGAGAGTGCGATAGCCGACCTTGAGGCTCAGAACGAAGCGGGAGAAGACACTGCTGTTGCCCATCTGCCTGAGGAGTTGGCTGACAAGGAGGTCTTGAGAGAGCAGGTGAGGCAGGCGATGGACGATCTCACGAGTCAGAAGCGCCACAAGCGCATCAACCTGACCGACCCAGACGCCAGGCTGATGAAGGGTAGGCAAGGCATCGTGGCTGGCTACAACGCTCAGGCTATGGTCTCACCCACAGAGACGGATGGGGGAGCGACCGGCATGTTGGTCACCGCCGTGGACGTGGTGGATGCGGCCAATGACAATGCCCTGCTGGTTCCGATGGTCGAGCAGGCCGAAGAGACGACCGGGACAAGAGCACAGATGACGTTGGCCGACGCCGGATATTTCGCCGCAAGTCACCTGGCAGAGTGCACCCGTCGAGGTCAGCAGGTGGTGGTGTCCGAGTCACGGCAACGGTTCCTCAAAGACCCATATCACAAGGACCAATTCACCTACAACGAGCCGAGCGACAGCTTTACGTGTCCGCAGGGACAGACGCTCAAGTTCGTTCGTATACAGCACGCGAACGGAGTCCCGTTGCGACTGTACCGGGCTTCCGGCGCCGTCTGTCAGGCATGCCCAGCCTTCAGAGCCTGTACCAGGGCCAAGGAGATTGGGCGAAGCTTAGCCATAGGGCCGCACGACGCAGTGCTGCGTCGCCATCGCGCCTGGATGTCCACCCAGCAGCCAAAGAAGCTTATGGGCTGAGAAAGCAACTGGTCGAACCGGTCTTCGGAATCATCAAGGAGCAACAGGAGGCACGGAGGTTCCTGCTGCGCGGCCTCGTTAACGTGGCGGCCGAGTGGACCATGTTGGCCACCGCCTTCAACCTACGCACTCTCTGTCGGGTGTGGAGCTCCAGCCCCTTCATCGGTCTATTCAATGGCCCGGAGCCTCATCCCGTCTCCTGACCTGCAGTGATGACAGCAGCTGACCCATCGCTCCGTCGCCTGTCCTACCCGCTCAGGCCAGGGCCTTTCAGCGAACCCTCCGACCTCTATCCGCTCCCCCTACCCGCAATTTCCACTTCTGGGACTGCGATGATGAATCCCGGGCCACCTCGGCTCGGGCCTGACCCTTTCTGAGACTGGCATCATGCCTTCAGCCTGATCTGTCGACTCGAGTCGAGGTGGCACCCGAAGTGCCTTTGGCAAGGCGAGCAGTGACCTTATAGGAGCCTGGCCCCACGCCCCATCGCAGTCTTGTCCGCTCACCTGGCCGGCGCGCAATCCTCCGGGAGGTAGAAATGACAGGAGTCGTCGGTCATGAAGGTAGTCGTGGTGTTGAGCTGGTCGTCGGAGTCGACACCCACCAGGATGAGCATGTGGCGGTGGCCATTGACCGTCAGGGGGTCCGCCTGGGGGAGCTTCACACAGTGGCGACCACCCATGGGTATGAGGAGCTCGAACGGTGGTCCCGGGGCCTGGGAGAGATTCATGCCTTCGGGATTGAAGGCACCGGTTCCTACGGTGCCGGAGTCGCCCGATTCCTGACCAGTAGGGGCCATACCGTAGTGGAGGTCAACCGGCCCGACCGGTCAACCCGCTATCGGAAGGGGAAGAGCGATCCCACTGATGCGGAGATGGCAGCGCGTGCCGTGCTTGCCGGAGTAGCCGATGCCACTCCCAAGTCAGGTGAGGGTGAAGTCGAAATGATCCGTATGTTCAAGAGCACCAAGGACTCGGCCGTCAAGGCTCGCACCCAGGCAATCAACCAGATGAAGGCCCTGGTTGTCACGGCCCCGGCCCGGCTTCGTGAGCACCTCACTGGCCTCACCGCTGCTGCCCTTGTCACCCGGTCCAAGAGCTTCCGGCCTGGTCGTCTGGAGGGTCCCACCGCGGCGGCCAAGTATGCTCTTCGCTCCCTTGCCCGTCGCTACCGTCAACTCGGTAATGAGATAAAGGACCTGGAGGCCGAGATCCAACGACTCACACGGACGGCAGCCCCAGCCCTGGTGGATGGCTTCGGCATAGGACCAGACACGGCGGCGACCCTCCTCATTGCTGCCGGGAGTAACCCGGACCGCCTCCACTCCGAGGCTGCCTTCGCCTCCCTGTGCGGTGTCAATCCCATCCCTGCTTCCTCCGGCAAGACCAACAGGCATCGGCTCAACCGAGGCGGCCACCGCCAGGCCAACGCGGCACTCCATCGCATTGTTGTCGTCAGACTTCGTCATGATGAGCGGACCCAGGCATACATGCGTCGTCGCACCACCGAGGGATGAGCAAGGCTGAGGTGATCCGCTGCCTCAAACGCTATGTCGCTCGCAGAGGTCTTCTCCGTCCTACGGAACTCAGCCCTATCCCACAGCACTCCTTGACATCTATAGGAGCATCAGGTTGGTCACGGAGCTGAGACTCGCAGGCGCGACCACCATCGATGACGCCAACCGCGTGCTCAACGACTTCCTGCCCCGCTTCAATGAACGCTTTCGTGTGCCGCCGGAGCACGCAGACACCGCGTATCGAGTCCTGGACCCGGGGCTGTGCCTGGACACAGTCCTATGCCTGAAGTACAGGCGCAGGGTTGGACGGGACAACACGGTGAAGTACCGCTGGCGCACCCTGCAGTTGCTTCCCGATAGGGCTCGACCGAGCTATGCCGGGTCGGTGGTGGAAGTACTCGAGGGGCTGGACGGCCGACTGTCAGTGCAACACGAAGGGCGTACCGTCGCCTCCCAGCAAGCGCCTCCACGGCCCAGTGTCCTGCGCAGCTTCGACACGCGGACCGTGCACACGGCTGGTCCCAGCCGCTACACCAACGGTGTCATCAGGAGGTCGGAGGACGAGGTGGACGTCAATGGGCACAATGCTCGAAGCGGACAGACTCCGCGACGATGCCGACCGCAACGGCGCCGCAAGAGTTCGCAGGACTGCGACTCCGCGATCCAGAAAGCCCACCCCACTTCAGACGGCGAGATGGAAGGCGGTCCAGAAGGCGAAGCGCAAGGGGCTGTCCATCCGTGGGATCGCCCGGGAACTGAGCATACACAGAGACACCGTGAGGAAGTACATGATGCCGAAAGCCCACCCATGTCGCCCGCCCGCGCAACGTCGGCAGCGCCTTAGTCTGCTAGCATGGCAATCTACTTAGAGGACATTTTCCCTTGACACTTAAGCGGACATAATCGCTGAGCGTCGACAC